AGGTCGCTCCTGCAAGCATTCAGAACCCCATAACCCATGTGTCCAGTGAGTAGGAGCACCCACTGTTCTGCAGCAGGTGGATTCAGCTCTTCACTGGGGCTCCTGCAGAGACGCAGTGCCACAGACAGAAGCGAGCTTGGCGCAGGTGGGAAGTGCGCGCCTCCGCTTGCCTGGCTTGGAATGGAGTGGGAGCTAGGCTACGGTGTGGGCGGTCGGCCAACGGGGTGTCGGTGGAGAGGTCCCAGGCAGCAGTGGGGGTGGATGGTCCCCTGGGAGCATCGCCCAGGCAGCCCCTGGTATATTGCAGGTCAGCCACCTGGGGCTTGGATGGAGGGAGGGAGGGACGCGGGCCCAGGGGCAGATCACTGCCACGTGGGGAGAGGGGACCCGCGGGAAGGAGAAGCTACTCTCCTAGTGGGGTCCCGCAAGTGGGAAGCTGCTGACAGGGGTCCCGCCACCACCTGTCTCGGCAGAGCAGGCAAGCGACTCTGGGTGCGGGGTCCCGGTTTGGGGATGGAGTGGGGATATAGCTAGTCTAGGTCATGATGGCGGGGGCTTAGTGACCCATGATGTCCCACGAATCGGGCCCTGGATCACCGAGGCCCTGGCTCAGGACAAATGTGTGGGGTGGAGGTGGGGTGCTGGCCAGGGGGGATATTTCACTCACCAGACTCCTACCACTCAGTTATCTGGACACCAAACCCACCTTGTTCAATAGAGCTCTCAAAGTAAGCGGGTCCCCTGGTCCGCCATCTTCCCGGAAGTTGCCATCGTCATTTTCAAAATATTTTCTTTCAACTTGAGCCCTTGATATCAGCTCCTCATTTTTCCCTCCCTTCCCTTCCTCTTGAAGACTTGATAATTTACAAAATATTATTATTTTTTATGTCTTATACTAACGGATGCCTTCCTTTACCCACATTCCTATTGTCCATCCCCCTGAGAGGGGGTTATATGTTGATTATTGTGATTGGTTCCTCCTTTGTACCAATACCTTCCCCTTGCCCTCCTGTTATTGAGATTCTCAATATTGCTCCTGTGGTGTGTATCTGTCCTTGATTCCCTGTTTTTCAGCTATTATCTGTATCTGGGTACATGCTGTGGTCTAGCTGGAATTGTAAGGTGGAATTGGCGTCATGATTCTGGAGGGGAGGAAGTATTAAATAACTAGAGGAAAATTGTATGTTTCAATGGTGCTATATTGCACTCTGACTGGCTCATCACGTCCCTGTGACCCTTCTGTAACGGGATGTCCAATTATCTACAACTGGCTTTGAGTCTCCACTCCACCCTCCCCATGATTCACATTGATATGATTTTTTATTCTGTGTCTTTGATGCCTAATACCTGATACCATAGACAATTCATGACTACACAGGCTGATGTGCTTCTTCCATGTGGACTTTGTTACTTCTCAGCTAGATAGCTACTTATCTTCAAGCCTTTAAGAGCCCAGATGCAATATTTTTAGATAGCTGGGAACCATGGACTTTCTTTGCCACATTTGCTTATGCACACATTATGTCTTCAGTGTGTCGGGAAAGTGAGCATCATGGAATGCCAGGTTAGGCGGGGGGAAAGGTAGTGGGTATTAACACAACCAGGGAGAAGGGGACAACAGGTGATCTAGAATCAATGGCGGTGAGTGTATAGCATGCCTGGTAAGGATTGATCAAGGGCAATATAACTTAGAGGAATTACTGAAACCTGAATCAATGCAGAACATGATAGTTGGACAAGAGAAAAGTAAAAGGAAATAGAGTAAAGAACTAGGAGGCAAAGGGCATTTACATAAGTGTAAATACAGGCATGTACACATGTAAATATACATAGAATGATAAGGAATGAGATCTATGTACATACATTTATAGATATTGTATTAAAGTAGCAGGACATTTGGCCTCTACTCAAGTACTCTGTATCATACACCTTCACAAACTGGAAATAAATAAAGCTACACAAGATCCTTTCTTAAAACATGTGATTCGTAGAAATTATACCTATATTTATTGATAAGCTAAATACTAATCCTTGCTGTTAGAAACACCCTCTTCCATACTTTCTCACCAAGAGCTACTTTACAAATTGGTGTTTTGTATTTCTTCCATTTTCTTTATTATCCTATAGTTTGTGGATCTGAATTCTGATTGTTTTAAAAAGTAGGTTGATAGTTTAATTAATTAGTATAACTCCAAAACTAAAAATATAAATGATATTATACCCAAGAAAACAAAGCTGATTCAGTCTATCCAGAGACATTTTCTGGTTCCCCATGACAATACCCCCAGAAACCGACCTACAATCGAAGACACTAAGGAAAAATTTTGCTGTGCTGTTTTATTTCAAATTGAATTTGATATCAAGATGTTTCCTGTTTTTTGAAAATGAAGAGGGATTCTAGACAAGACTGTTTTATTCATTTATGTTATTTGAAATATATAAATATAAATATTGCATTTCAGAATCATATTGCTCAATACTTACTAATTTCTTCTTTAGAGAAAAAAATCATGAAAACATTGTGATTGTTGCTATTGCTGTTAGGAGCTTTTGAGTTGGTTGCAACTCATTAACACTTAGCAGTTCTAAGCAAATCAGAAGGAAACATGGCCACATTGCCTTGTCCAGGGCAATATAACAAGTAGCATTTCTATTGTCTTTGAACCCACTGTTGTGGCCACTCTGTCAACCCACCTCCTGTGAGTCTCCCTCTTTTTCACTGACCTTCTAATTCCCATGCAGATTTCCTTTTCCAGGGACAGTTCTCTCCCAATAACATGTCCAAGGTGCATAAGGTAAAGTCTTGTCTATCTCGAGGAGAATTCTGGCTGTATTTTTTCCAGGATAAATTTATTCTTCTGGTAATCCATGGGACTTCCACTATTGTTCTCCAACACAGGAATTTAAATGCACCGATTCTTCTGTAGGCCTCCTTATTCATTAGGCATCTTTCACATGCTTATGAGCCAATTGAAAATGCCATGCCTTAGGTCACAATACCTGATTCCACAGAGTGACATCTTGCTCTTTCACTTTAAAGAGGTCTTAAGTAGCAGATTTGTTTAATGCAGTGCCCCCTCAATCCCCCTTCTTTTTGACTGATGCTTCCATGGTTGTGAATCCAAGCAATAGGAGATCAGTGATAAATCTTTTCTCCGTTTAACACAGGGTTAAAAGTTGTGAGGATTTTTGATTTCTTTACTTTGAGTTGTAATCCACACTGAAGGCTGAAATACTTGATCTTCAGCTAGTGCTTCAAGGCCTCTTCTCTTTCAGCATGGAAGATTGTATCACCTGCTTCTCACAAGTTAATCGCCTTCTTGCAATCCTGATGTCGGGTTCTTCTTCACATAGTGCAGACTTACATATTATTTGTTCAGAATGCTGGTTCACATCATGAAATATCACCCTTGTTGCACCTGTTCCTGATTATAAAGCAGGCATTATCCCCTTGTGCTCTTGGAACCATGGCTTTTGGGGCTTTTTGAACTGGTTCCACAGGAGCACAAAGAAGTGTTCTGGAATTATGATCCTTCCCAATGCTCTCCGTTGTTTGTTATGAAGCACACAGTCAAAAGCCTTTGCATAGTCCATGAAACACAGATAAACATCTTTCTAATATTCTCTGCTTTCGTCCAAGATCCATTTTGCATTTGCAAGGAAGTACCTTTGTCTTAATCTCACCTTAATCCATCTTAAATCTCTGACAACTCTTTGTGGATGTACTGCTGCAATCACTTTTGATAATTTTCCGCAAAATTTTAATTTTAATAATTTTCCACAAAATTTTAATTTTAATGTGACATTAATGGTATTCATGGACAAATCCTGCTTTCTATTAGGTAATCTTTCTCTGGAATAGGCACAAATATGGGTCTATTCCAGTCAATTGGCCTTGCCTATTTCTTGGCATTAACTGGTGAAGGCTTCCATCAGCATGTTGAAACATTTCAGTTGGTATTCTGTCAATTCCTGGGGCCTGATTTTTCTTAATGCCTTCAGTGAAGCATAGACTTCCTCTTTCAATATCATTGTTTCTTGATCGTATGTTAATTCTTGAAAGGCTTGGATGTCGACACATGCATTTAGCTACAGAAAATTTTATTAGGCCCTAAGACAATATCAAAGTCTTGAAAATCATCAACACTATCTTTTGGTTAGCCTTCTTTATTTTAAAATATCATCCTTTGTTTCAAATATATGTTAAAAATAAAATAATTGAGACTACCAATCATTATGAAGGGGTCAAACACAAATACTCCTATTTGCTGCCTATAACCCAAATGCCATCTTGTTCTGATGTGTTGTTGGGTCCGTGTGGAATCATAGTGGTCTCAGGTGACAGAGTCGAACTGCCCAACAGAATTCTCTTGGCTGAAATCTTTGTGGAAGAATTCAGTCAGGGCTTTCTCCCATGTAGCCTTTGGGTGTGTTCGAACTCCCAACCACTTCAATTAGTGGCTGACCCAGGACTCATTAACCCAACAAAAGTCTCTGGAGTAGGTTATCAAATTTTCTGCCTATCTTTGTTTTATAAGCATTGATCAAATCTTGTAGGACTGTGTACATAAATTTTATGTGGGTGCTTAGACGATATTGGACTTGCCTCAGATTTTATGTCAATGCTTTGATCGCTATAAACTCAAATCAATTTTAATCTCTCCTAATAATTGGTTTGAATAATCAGGTGGGTGAGATATGTTATAGGAGATCACTATTTGAATTTTCCTGGCATATTTACCTATAGGGAGCTAAATGGGCTAATATTGAAGACTGAAAAATAATTGCATATATTTTGTTACTATGAACATGCTTTCCACGTAATATTACTTTGAAGATGGAGACAACTACAGCTCTTATTTTGTCTGAACAAGAGTCTCAGAAAGCCTTTAACATTATGTTGAAACTCTTCTCTGTGGGGAAGTGATGGACCGCAGCTGGTGCTGAAATGAGTGCCTCTGACATGTGACCAAGGATGTTTTATGAACAGAACACATTACTTGTGGTTTGGCAACTTTTAATAAGGCGTGTAAGAGAGTCAAATATCTGTCTCTGGTATTATAATTGCATGATTCTCTTTACAACAAATTCTAATTTATGAATAAAAATTATGTAAGAGTTGAAAAACTATTGAGAAAATTATATTACCATATATAAAATTCAGGAAATGTATACAATTTGATTATATGAATGTGCTTCAACCACAGCATTAGCCACAGCGGGGATACATTATTTTCCCTTCATGACAAGTTGCTCGAAAACTGGCTCTTGGTGTCAATTCCCTATAACCCCATTTACATTTAAATTCAACAGTATCATGTGATTCAGAATAAATTTTCTTAGTGTGTGTCCATCTTAACTGTATTTTATGTCTTTCCAGCTCGCTTTCTGATATTATACACGCATCTGAAAATAGAACAAACAAACATAAAAACTGTTAGCCAACAAAAAATATATTTTTGTAGACTTTCAGGTTTAAAAACAGTATTGAAAAATGATTTGGGCATTCTTTACAAAAATCTTTCCATTCTGTGAATAATTATCATGTGCGTTTTAATATGGTGACAACAATAAATCTAAATATCAACTCATTGCAATCAAACAAATTCTGAATTGTTGAGTGGGATCTAACCCCATGTATGTGTTTCTGAGCAAACTTGCATAATAGTGTTTCTTGTTTATAATTTTAATAGGAAGAGATTGCTAGGCTTTCTTTTGTAGTTCTGCTCGGCAGCCTCAAACTGCCTACTCTCAGGTTATAAGATGACTTCAAAGCATTTGTGCCAGCCAGGGGCCTGAACACTGTTCAATGATAGAAAAATGGTGCATCATGCTTAATGAGTAATAACTGGATCGTATATCAGGGAATCACACAGTCAATTATTTTAATAAGTGGTTTGCATTAAAGAAATATTTGTATATTTTGATTCAATACGAATTTTTAAAACTTCGTGCCTTTACATATTAACATTGAAAATCCCTAGAAAGCAGTTCTAATTCTGTGTTGCATAAGTCAGAATTGGCTGTATGGCAAAAACTTTTGCTCTATTAATATGTACAAGTGAGCTATTCCACACAATGGTGTTTGCAAGTTTCTGATGTTAAATCATATCTAGCAAAATATAATGATTATTATTTTGATTTGTCCTGGATCAATGGAAACAGAGGTACTCACCTAAACATTTTGGTGGTTGTGACCACTGTCCATTCACACATGTAATTTGTTGTTCACCCTGAAGTACATAGACAGCTTGGCATTGGTACTGAACTGATGATCCTGGAGCATATTCTTTTTGTGGGAATGAAGTTGTGTCTCCATTTTCAATAGCAGGAGGAGGCCCACATTTTCCTGTAGAATCTAATATATATATATATATATATATACATGCAAAAATGTACTAGTTGGCTTAAAGAAAAATTAAGTCACCTTGCGGATTTACCTGTGCAAAATAAAAATGAAGCATAATGTGTAATATAAAGTTTTCTGTGACTACTGAGAAAAGAATTGGGTCATGGAAGAAACTCAAATCATTTAAATTGAAGGCTACTTTAAAACACATATAAAACATTGATAAATATATCTGTTTTGCAATATCAATGTTTTCTTCATGAAAAATTAACCACTAAGATAAATGATGGGTGTTTTTCTGTCTAATAAAATATAATGTCTACTGGATCTCACATTTAAAAAAATGTTATTTCCAAGGAAACATCAACTCCTTGAAAATGTTCAAAGGATTAAAATATATTTGAACTTTACAGAAAAACGCACTGCTATTGTTGATTTTAAAAATCTTTTATCTTTGGTTCACACAGGGTGGTAAGCTTCTTCATGAGGACTTAGCTGACTCTTCCATTAGATCAGCGGTTCTCAACCCATGGGTCGTGACCCCTTTGGGGGTCAAACTAACCTTTCACAAGGGTCACCTGATCCATAACAGTAACAAAATTACAGTTATGAAGTAGAAATGAAAATAATTTTGTGGTTGGAGGGTCATCACAACATGAGGAACTGTACTAAAGGGTTGTGGCATTAGAGAGCTTGAGAACCACTGTCTTAGATGGTTTCTTGCTTGGGACAAGCTTTTAGAACCCCGGATGCTATTACTCATGATAACCAAGCACCATGTAGTTTCTTCACTACATTTTGCTGTGGCACCCATGTATTCAGTGATTTCATTATGACTGAGTATTCGGCAGGGCCGTGCTATAAGAACTAATTTTTCATATATTAGGGCTGTGCTCAGGTGATAATACAGTATCTATTCTTACCACTGTTGGTTCTTTAAGTGCCTGGTTTTATTTCTGTGACAACATTGTCATTTTATTGAATTACATCCTATATTATCTCACTAAGGTTTCGAGCCATACTATTGCTAGGAATATTATTGTAGTAAATTGTATAATTTTATCGATCAGAGAAGTTCACATGTGTGTAGTAAAAATCAGGCTCAATTACTTGAGCAGTTAGCTTGTATATCTCCAAGATGTAGGCTACTGGTTTCTATTTACTTATGGTGTGGGAATGGAAGCTGAACTAATACTTTTGGTAAACCTCAATTGTGGGATTAGAGGTATATCTGGTAGACTAAACCTTGTAGAAAGAAGTAGAAAGAACATGAAATATATATATCCTGGGTGACCATCCTTTGGGTGTATCAAGGAGATTTTGATCATAGCAACCCTACAGGACAGGGTGTAAGAACCTGCGTGGGTTTCTGAGACTGTAACTCTGTATGGGACTAGAAAGCCTCATCTTTTTCTCTCCAACAGGGTGGTGGTTTCAAAAGGCTAGCCTTGTGGTTTTCAGTGCAATGTGCAACACACTACGACACCGAGGGTTTATACCTCCTGAACCTGAGAACCTCTCGAAAACAGGCTTGCACACTGAACCTTATTGGCAGAAGTCCCGATGAGCCATTGGCTGACATGAAGGCCATTATTGGAGGGAAAAGCAAAAGTACATTGAAAAGTACATTAAAAAGAAAGATGAAAGCACATGTCATAAGAGATTCTGAAACTTGCTCATCATGCTAGAGTAGTTAAGGCAAGTGGAAAAATATGAAATCACATGCTGAACAAAAATTTTCAAAACTCATCTCAAAAGCACTATGTAAAATATGATAATTTTATAGGTCCAAAAAGACCTAGAGTTGGAAAAACAAAAAGGAAGAAAATATTCAGCACTTTATAAATTGAAAGAACTAAAGAAAATGTCAAGCTGTAAGTTGCAATATTTAAAGATTCTGAGCAAAATATTGAATGATTAAGCAAGCATCAAACGAGTAGGAAAAGAAGACACAGAATTATTGTACCCAAAATAACTGGTAGACATTAGCTCTTTTAAGATGCATTGTATGAGCCAGAACTAATGGCAATAAAGTAAGAATTCCAAGCTGTACTGAAAGCATTAGACAAAAACAACTTTTCGGCGATCAATGGCACACAAGTTGAAATGTTTCAACAAGTTAATGAAGCACTGGAAGCACATACTCACGTATGCTAGGAAATTTGGAAGACAGTTACTTGTTCAGTGGATTCGAAGATTTATATTTCTACTCATTCCAAAGAAAGGTGACCCAACAGAATGTTCAAATCATGGCACAATATCATTAATATCACATGCCAGAAAAATTTTACTGATGATCACCCAACAGAGGTTGCCAGAAGTTAAAGCTAGATTCCAAAGTAGATATGAGACAAAGAATAACCTTCCTGGTGTCAGATAGATCTTTGCTCAAAGCAGAGAATACCAGAAAGATGTTTACTTGTGTTTTATTGACTATGCGAAGGTATTTAACTTTGTGGATCATAACAAACTATGGATAGCCTTGAGAAGAATGAGAATACCAAACCATATCTTTGTCCATTGATCAAGAAATGTGATTGGAACTCGGGAAGACTGCATGGTTAAAAGTCAGGAAAGGCCTCATCATGATTGTATCATCTCACCAAACTTATTCAATCTCTAAGCTGAGACAAATATGGCATAGATGAAGAAGAATTTGACATCACTATTGGCGGAAGGCTTATTAACAACCTGTGAAATGGAGATGACACACATCTTGCTGGCTATAACTGAGGAGTTGAAGTCCTTTCAGATAGAGGTCAAGAATTTCTGCCTTCAGTAGGGATTACAGCTCAATATAAAGGAAACATGAAATCCCCACAACTGGATAAATAGTAA